TTATAAAAGGTTAAATAAAACAAAAATATTGGTGTTAATTTTGGACTGTAACTTTACAAACGGCAGCCCATTAGCAGTGTTTAAACTTTTCTCTGGAATTTGTCCGAATCCAGAAAAGAACAGAAATTATGAATTTTCTCATTTGAAATGTTTAATAATCAAACTTTTAATGATGTTTTTATTAAAATAAAGCCTCGTCGTCCCTCTGATCTGTGATCTCGTGCCTTCATCCTCCTGCCTTAAAACACATTTTAAACAAACTCCTGATTAATTTGATTTATTTATTTTCTGGAAGCAGCAGAATCAGGAACGTTTCTTATTTTCTCTGCTGTATTTTATTCATTTCTTGACAGTTTTTATTTTATTTTTTATTTTTGGGGCATTTAGTTTTTCTGTTGACAGAAATCTGTATTTAATTTCTCAAATCTTTTTGTTTGTATTTACTTCTTCAGATGTTTTCAGATAAATGTTGTGTTAAAGCAGGTGTAAAGTCTGCGTTCAGCAATAAGGATCAACCTTTAATGTGTGTTGTTGTTTACAGCTCCTCTCTGTGGGCGTCGCCGGGTTTGTTTTTGTTTTTATGACTTGTTTGTTGCGTTCTTATTGGTCGACGTAAACTGTACATAAGACCTGAAACTATTGTTGGGAATTTAGGTTTCATGCTTAAAGAAAGAAGTCTTAAACGGACTTATTTTAAGTTTTGTTTTGTTTTTCAAGGGAAAAAATGTGAATTTGTTTCATTTTGTGTAAAAGTGCATTTTTAAGATGAAGAAAACTAAATAAAAACTAAAACTTGATGTTTTTTCTTATGAAATTTGTTGTCTAAAACCTGTCCAGATGCTTCTCCTCTCTGTGAACTCTGACCTGTTTCCCTGCAGAACAGACCCCACATCATGACGCTGCCACCGCCGTGCTTCACTGAAGGAAGGAGTTCTGCACATGATGCAGGAGGGGAGCTGATGCACCGACTTCCACAGGTGTGAGACAGAAACATTAACTTCCTGCTGCTGACAGGTAGATGACTGTGTGTTAGCAAAATATCTCATTGTGGTGAAACTTATACAACTTGAACACAAAAATAACCCTGATGTGTCGGTTTAGCTCATTTAGAGCTAAAAGCTGGTGTGGTAGTAGCTGAGAGTGGTCCTCAACACGTCCTCTGAGCTCAACAGACCACCTCCTTTATGTACACAAAATCTACTTAAGTATTAAAAGTAAAAGTACTGAGTAAAAGTGAGCAGTTAGATTTTACAAAATGACATTTATTGGGAGGTGACTTCTCCAAAAACTATATTTTCTAACAGCGTGCAGCTGTGATGGGTTGTGTACAAGATAATAGTGTGTCAGAATGGTATATATTTATACTTCTCATCCAAACACAATTAAATTCACTCTATAGGAGACACAGTTTATCAGGAGAGGATTTTTAAAAGTAACAACTCAGAATAAAACAGGAGTAACAACTTTCTACTTCTTACCGTTTTAAAAAATGTAGTGAGTAGAAAGTACAGATAATTGTGTAAAAATGTAAGGAGCAAAAGTAAAAAGTACGCTGAAAAATAATCACTCAAGTAAAGTACAGATAACCAAAAAATTCTACTTAAATACAGTAACAAAGTATTTGTACTTAGTTACTTTACAACTCTGAGCTTAACACGATTAATAATCCAACATATTTTGATCTTGTTTAGCATATCAGTCTAAAAACAAGATGAAAATACTTTTTTTCTTATATAAAACTGTGAAACTTGATTAGAGGAACATTTTTACTGGTTAGAAGATTAAATAAGCTTCACTTCAAACCTGATCAGGACCAGGTCAGTGCTTCCTCTCACATGCAACAGATTCAAGGCTTAATTCAGGTTTACACCAAAATCCTGGCTTAATCCCTTTGCAATGAGCTCCAGGTCCACCCAGCAGGAGCAAACAAACAAACATCCTGAAGGTCAGAAGGTTGGAGCAGCTGAGGAGCAGGAAACCTGCTGCATCCTGAGGAAAACAACAGGCTGCAGCCAGGAAACACTGCTGAGGGCTCTGTTTCTGTGGGAGGACAAGGAGCACAGAGCTCGCTTTACAAAATAAAAGACCTAAATCCATTCATTTTACAAAATAAAAACACCTGAATCCATTAATTTTACAAAATAAAAACACCTGAATCCATTAATTTTACAAAATAAAACACCTGAATCCATTCATTTTACAAAATAAAACACCTGAATCCGTTAATTTTACGAAATAAAAGACCTGAATCCATTCATTTTACAAAATAAAACACCTGAATCTGTTAATTTTACAAAATAAAAGACCTGAATCCGTTCATTTTACAAAATAAAACACCTGAATCTGTTAATTTTACAAAATAAAAGACCTGAATCCGTTCATTTTACAAAATAAAACACCTGAATCCATTCATTTTACAAAATAAAACACTTGAATTTGTTAATTTTACAAAATAAAAGACTGAACGAAAGGCTGCTGAGAACATCTGCTTCCTTCATGTCACATTTGGATTTATTCTGTGTAACTTTACAAACGGCACCCCACCAGAACCAGAACCACTGGAACCATGACAACACCGGACCAGCTCAGGCCAGAACAAAGAGCTCCATCCTGCCTGTGGATCTGTCTATTTCCTGGATCAACTTCCAGTTTTTTAAAACCCAGCAGGTCTGGACCAGCTGATAATTTGGAAAGATAAAACTAAAAAAGAATAAGCCCCGCCCTTCAAACAATAATCCTGTTTCTTTAGTCCAGATTAACAGAAGTTATTTATATCTCCACAGTGACTTTGTGACGTGTCTCCAGTAACACAACAGAAAGAACATCTTCATACCAAAGGTTTAACTCAGGTATGTCACCTGAGTTTCATCAGAACCCGTCCAGGATCCCAGACCCAGGTCCAGACCCAGATCCAGACCCAGGTCCAGGTCCTCACCACCCTCTGAATATTCACTTTGATTCATTTTCTCCACATCAAACATTAAATCAACACAACTTCTCCTGAATAAAGAGTCCAGAACATCAGAACTGGGTCAGAACCTCAGGACCAGGGTCCACCAGGAGGATGATGCAGGACCACAACAGCAGGACCACATCTGGAAGTTTTATTGTAGCAGAAAATGTTTTTAAAAATGTTGTTTTTGTCTTGTTTTATGTTTGTTTGTTTGTTTGTTTGTTTGTTTGTTTGTTTGTTTGTTTGTTTGTTTGAAGCTTCTTCAGGATTAAGGAGTTAATTGATCTAAAATAATATTTGAGTTTTGTCACAGATAAAAGTCATAAAAAGAGTTTGATGATGAATCCTGACAGATTTCAGTCAAATCTGAAGCTGACCTGCTGTCAGGTGAGTTCCTCCTGAGGGCGGGGCAGCTTGAACCACCTGTGCTTTGCTCTTTTGTTGCAGAGGAATGAGGACTCTGAACCAATCAGAGCAGAATGTGGGGCTGCACGGGTCCAAACAGAACCGGGTTCACTGCAGAACTTTAGTTTTGATCCGGTAAACATTTAAAACTGAGAATTCAGCAAATATTTCCTGACAGTCGGTTTTTATTTTATATTTCCTGTTCGTGTTTGCAGAGGATTAAAAAGTTCTGGTTCTGTTTTTATTTTATAACGTCTCTGCAGCGCGTCACATTGGCCCCGCCCCCTAAAAACATGTAAACAGGAAGTCCTCTGAGTTCACCTGTCAGAAACTCTTTCAGAGCTCTGCTGCCCCCTGCTGGTTCCGACCTTAAACTACATCTTTGCTGCAGGGGACACCTGGACATGTCTCCAGTCCACACGCAGAGAAAACCCACAGATGCACAGAGAGAATAAACTCCACCAGGAAGCGTTTGCTGGGAATTGAACCTGTGACCTTCTCCCTGAGAGGCAGCAGGTCAAACCGCTGCACCACTAAATGAGATCTGTCAGAGACAGGTAGGGAAGTAAAGACTCACATTTAACTCATTTCTGTGGATTTTAATCTTTAAATTAAAACTAAATGACTTTTTATCTTTCATTTTCTCAAATACGGTCTATTTTTTAATATTTAATCTCTGCAGAATAAATAAATGTTTTATTATCAGATCTTTAATCTCTGCAGAATAAATAAATAAATAAATGTTTATTTATCAGAACGGGTCTAAATCGTGGTGAAACGATGCAAACTGGAGCTGGATAATTAGTGGAACACAGAGTTTCTTCACACCCGCTTTGTTGGTTCTGCTCAGCAGGACCGGGCCCTGCGCCGCCGCGGACCAGAACCTGTCAGCTGCTGAGAACTGGGTCAGAACCCAGAAAAAGACAGGCTGCTGCCAGCGAACAGGAGGGAGGGGGAGGAGGTGTGAAGAGCTGCGAGGATGGACAGAAGGACGGAGGTGTGAAGGAGGACAAGTCTGTGGAAGATGTTCACTCATCAGGCTGACAGCAAAGCATTGTGGGTAAGAGCTGTGACTCGGTTTGACCCAGAACAAGACCGGGACACAGTCCTGCAGGTCCAGACACAGTCCTGCAGGGCCGGACACAGTCCTGCAGGGCCGGACACAGTCCTGCAGGTCCAGACACAGTCCTGCAGGTCCAGACACAGTCCTGCAGGGCCAGACACAGAGTCTTGGGACACCAAGAGGACATCTTCAGCCTCTTACTGTCCTGTGGACATTTTATAAATCAAGTTATTTTAGTTATTTTACTGTATTTATGTCCACTGCCCTCATCTCACTGTTTGTTGTAAGTACGTAAGTAGGAAAGTACATAAGTAGGTGGGTAGGTATGTAAGTGATAATTGTGTAATTAGGTAAGTAAGTCAGTAAGTGAATAATTAAGTACATCAGTATGTAAGTACATAATTAGGTAATTAAGTAAGTAGGTGGGTAAGTTGTTAAGTAAGAGCGTAAGTACATAAGGAAGGAAAGAAGTATGTAAGGAAGGAAGGATGTATATAAGTGCATAAGGAAGTATGTAAGTAAAGAAGTAAGTAAATACATAAGTATGTAAGTACGTAATTAGGTGAGTAAGTATAAGTTAAGTAAGTACGTAAGAAAGAACGTAAGTACATAAGGAAGGAAAGAAGTATGTAAGTACATAAGTAAGGAGGTACATAAGGAAGTATGTAAGGAAGAACGCAAGTACTTAAGGAAGGAAGTATGTAATAAGTAAGTATGTAAAGGAAGGAAGTATGTCAGTACGTAAAGCCAAAATGAAAGAAGAAATCAAATCTGACAGAAAAAAAAAATTGAGCTCTAATGAGCTGAGAATTTAAATATCCGGGTTCAGGTCTTTGTTCAGGTCTTTGTTCAGGTCTTTGTTCAGGTCTTTGTTCAGGTCCGGGTTCAGGTCCGGGTTCAGGTCTTTGTTGGATTATATTTTATAAAACGAATTAATGGGTCCACAGAGATTAGAGTTGTTCACGTGAGACAGACGTCCTCTGTGGACAACTGGGGGACAGATGCATTATGAATCAATAACCTGTCATTTATAACTGAAGCTGCAGTGGAAGCAGGTGGGTGGTCCTGCAGTGACGTCATCAGCAGCTGCTGCCTCCATCAGTAGGGCCAAAACACCCTCATTACGTCACTTCCTGCTTTTTAACAAACAGGAAGTTGTTCTGAGGGAGAATATTTTGTGTGTGAGTCTCACACACACACACACACACACACACACACACACACACACACACACACAC